AGACAAAGCCTTGAATATAAAATAAAATGTTTAAACTTGAGGTCAATGAATGGGTAGGCAACAAACCTGCTGGAAGCAGGGAGGTGGCATATGCAAGCACCAGAGGAAGCCTGTCTCATCCCTCAAGGATGTGAGCATCCTTACAGCTCCATTCCAGCACATTCCTTCCTCACAAAAGCTGTAGAAAAACAGTGCTGCAAGTACTGTGCAGCAATGGCAGCAGAGCAACTTCCACAAAGCATGGCAGGCAGCAATATCCTACAGCTGTAATTTCATTTTCTCTTTTCTTGAGCACAAGAAGGCTGAAAGAACATCTTGTAAACCAAGAAGCTCTAACACATGTTCAGTAGGAACTAGCTGTTTATTCCAGCTGTTTATGACTACCACCCCCAAACTATGGTTTCACCTCATCATGCAACTACTAGAAAATTTATACACTAGGTTCATGTGGAAAATTTTGAAGTCTGACTCAGAAAAGAAGCAAACGTCTGCTGCCAAACCATGACTGAGAATATAGGTAAAAAATGAAAGAAAAGCAATCTATCTCTGAGGATTACAAATAAGGATATGAACAAGGGACTTAAAATGGTAATAAATTGGAGGGGAGGGGTGTTGGAGGTTTGGTGTGAGTTGTTTATTGGTTTTGTTTCCCTGTTTGTTTCAGTAAAATTAAAGCTTATTCAAATCTATTTGACAGCGTTTTATTCAACTCAAAAATAATGAAAAAAATTTAAATGTGTACCAACTGGTATGTTTGTTTTCTTTTAAACATAACAAAAAATTTACTCAATCCTTCTGCCTCTATAATGAGTTCAGAAGTGCTTGTTGTGTAATTTTTTTTTCTTTTGTATGTTCATAAACCTATGTTTTATCTATGTTGTCTCAGACCTAATCTAATGTTCTGGAGCTGTATGTGATAGGTGATGAAACCTCTTCTGATTAAATACCCGTAGCCACTTCTCCAGAAGGAGGTAAATTCATTTATTACAGGTCATGTAGGTAAATAGGTATCACACTCATCTCTTTCTCTGTGCTGAATCTGGGGTACTCTCAGTGCTCAGCCCAGAACGGGTGAATACTCTGCCTCTAATTCCTTGCAAAACTAGCTAATTTCAGATTTCTACACTTCTTTATAAGCACTGACACAAGAACTAAGGAACCTTCTTGAAAGCAAGGTAGCTTCATCAACAACTTAAACCTGAGGCCCAGGAGAAAGAATCAAAAGGTCTGTATCAAAGACACAGAAATAGAAACAGCAGCTGGATGAGAACTATCTAATAGAGCAACACCAGCTAGTCCAGGTGAGATTCTTATGACAAAAGTAAAAAAGTAGTTACTCCAAGAAAGCCTTTTCAAGGCTTACCAGGAAAAGAGAGGTTTTCCTGAGCACATGTCTGGAAATCCGTGCTGCAGCAGGGACTGTTACCTTAGCAGCCCTGCATTCTCCAAAGATGTCACCATATTCCTGCATCAGGGACAGACAGACACTGCTGCTCCTCTCCCAGCAGGGCTGAATGTCTGTGAAGACTTAGGGGCTCCATTTCTGTCTAACAGATTCCCTCTGTTAGGGAGGCCTTCCCCCCTCCTGGTCTCCTGGAATCTCAGAAATTTGAGGTCCCCGTGCTGTTTGACGCTTTCAGTCTTTGCATCTCCTGTATGTGCCCAAAGAGCATGATGCTCACCTGTGCCAGTTTGCTTTTTCCCACACAACTTCCATGTAGACTTCAGGAGAGAGCAGAGACCAGAAATGATGGTACAATATGAAATTTGGCTACAGCCCACAGGCAGCATAGTGAAAAACACTGATGGGAACCATTTTGGGCCAGTGTCATAAATCTTCTAACAGAGGCACATGGTCATGTGGAGCACACATTGTCCTGTGAAAATCTGGATTTTGATTGTAAGAGAAATACAGATTTTGTCTTTTAGAAGACATTGATACTGTAGGCAGAGGGAAATAAATGCAAGTAAGGTAAACTGTTGTTCTCATGCTCTCTAACATTGCCTGTTTTCTACTCAGTAGTTAAATATATTTATTATTGACATAGAAACTGAGCAAAATCTGTGAGAAAATACAGTTTAATTAAATGCAATAGAACTCTTTTTGCCCCATGATATTGATGTATTTGGATTAGTGTGGCATAGCTGTTAAAAAGATTTCATCTGGCATTTTTAATTCATAAAGTTAATTTAATCATCTTTATACAGTGTAATTCCTAAAAGCAAAGAGAAATTGCTAAGACATACAATTCTGAATACCTCATTAACAACACTTTTCAAAATTCCTTGTCTTAGGAAAAATTACCTGCCAGAAGAGCTAGCAAATTAAATGAACCTGGGAGTTTTTGAAGTGGTTACAGCAGCACAGTATCCCTGTGAGTCCGCACCAGCTTTGGATGCTTATGAATCATTTTAAATCTTACAAACCAAATTCATGGAAGGTTGGCACTGGCAATATCCCATACCAGAATCCCACTCAGTCTCCCATCTCCTTTCATCAAAAACTCACCTCATCTAAAATGCAAGTTTCTAGCTACTTTGGCTGCAAGGAAAAACCGTGAACTATGATGATGTGCAGAAACCAAATTCACTTAATCTGTGAGCATAATTCACACAGACTTTGGGGGGTTTATCCAGCAATATGACATTGATGTGTCAGTTTACCACAGACAAGGCAGGAAAAGGCAGGATGTGTGATGGATTACACACTTGGCCATGAATATCCCTCTTTCTTACGTGGGAGGGGCAGGGGTGAGAGGCGGCATCTTCCCCACAGAAAAACCCAATCTAAGGAGGTTTGTAGGACCACAGCACTTTTCAGCTCCTGTCAAGGACAGTCATGACAGCATGGGATAAAAAGCCCAAAGAGATACACTCAGTCTTACTTGAAATACTGGCTGAAAAGAGTTGTAGAAACTTACCTGGCTGATATGCATGAACTGTATTTTGGGGCAAGTACTTGAGTGGAAGTACTTCCTTGAGTATTTAAGGTATTTTATCCCCTAATGTCTGTCTAGGACAAGAAATAGTTGTTAGAAACATAAAGTACCTTGTACCTTTTTATGAAATATTTATTGCGTGGCTATACTTCTTCTCAAGTATCTTCAAAAAAACCCTGCAACTCTCCAGCACATGTAACAGAACCTCACTGAAATATTAAAAGCATAAAAAAAGACAAGACACAATTACAGCAGTCAGGTATTGAAAGTGCTGCTGCAGGGAAACAGCCTGAATCAATATCAGAAGAACACCACATTCAGAGGTTCAGTGGTCACTAAGGCATTCTGCTTACCAGTGATTAAAAAGGATGTCCTCCCCAGCCCTTCAGAAGATATATTCCCAGGCAATAAATTTTCTCTGTTTTACAGAGTTTCTTTCACACTAAGTATAAATCCGGAATCGCTCATATTTTCTACCTCTGGAAAAAAGCAAACCAAGGTGAGGTAGCCTTTCATCATTTTTATTGAGTGTTAAACTCAGATAAAAGATCAGTTTTAAACTGGTTGCCTTCAGAGAAAAATAAGGAACAGGAATGATGTGATGTCATGTCTTAGGGGGAGGAAGCAGTGCTAAAGCGAAAAGTACAGTCTTGGTCCTCTCTAACTGGGGTGAGGTACCAAACACAGACTGCCTTGTATAAGTCCCACAGAACAAAGCATTGGCTCCAATGCTGAAACGTTCCTTTTTGCATACTTACAGTATCCTTGGAGATATTAAAAACACAACACAGACCTGAGCAAGGTGATCTAGTTGAGACCCTGCTTTGAGCAAGAGGAGATTGGACAAGAGAGTCTTTCAAAGACCTCTTATACTTGAAAAATTTTGCATTCAGTTAAAATGTTGTTTTAATAGACAATTTTCTTAAAATCTCACTATCTGACCACATGTAGTTATACAAAACTCACTTGCTTTTCCAGTATGGTTCTCATATCCCTAATACACAACAGTTTGAGAAAGATACTCATTTGCAGGAGTCAAGAACCTGAAAAAATTAAATTAATCCAAAAATAGTATTTTATGATCCAAGACGGCAAGGTTTTAAACTCCAGATCTCGAAAAGTCTTCTGGTTTATTACATTAGTACCAAGCTGAATTCTTCTGTAACTAGTATAGACAAAAGTCAGAAATTCTATTTGTGACTGAAAAGGGGAAACAATTACACTAATAAGTGTGTAAAATAGATTGTCGCCTGTCCTTCAACAATCTGTAAGCACTAGCCTTCTGTAATGCTAAATTTTAATTAAAAAAAAAAAAAAGGACACATGTAGCAATTATTATGACCCAAACAATGGGAACACTTGCTTTGGGAACTTTGGGGATGGGAGTTCCACATCTGCTTGACAGCTGTGCTGCTCTTCTGCTTGCTTGGAAAGCATACAGGTTTGACAGTCATTCCCAGACTGTTGCCCAAAAAAGAGTATTCTAGGGAAGTTCAAACTGTGTCTTTATTCTGACACAAGGCTTTGCAAAATTTTACAAGCAGGATACTTCAGTTTAGAAGCAATTTGTAAATTGTGCTGTAAAATGTATCTTTCTCTTACACAGGTACCAGAGTTGATCAATGAATGAGTTAGAAAGGGCTTTGGGAGAAAAAATTCAATGAGTTATTAAAAGTTCCAAATCTTTACCTTAGGTCTCCTAAAATTAAGTAAAACAGAAGGTACAAACAGCATGAGAGATAGCTAAAAGAGGAGTTTCTTTCTTCTCTATGTTTGGAGAGAGTGGCACTTAATTTTTAGCTAGTATATAAAACAGGAAAATGATGGATACCATCTGCTAATCTTAGATGTACAAAAATGACATGACCACTGAAAATGTGCATACCTTCCAGATTTAAGGTTCTAGAAATTACCTTTTTGAGTTTTTTGAGTTTTTACCTTCACTCATTTTTGAGTTTCTTTCATAAGAATTGTGATATAGAGGACTTTGTGTTCTGCTTTCGCTTTTTGTTTTTGTTGCAATGACTGTTACTCTTCCCTTTTCCTTTTCTTCACTCTCAGCCATTGAATCTGGGCTGCCCAAGGAACAGAACCCTAAGAAAATACATCAAGATTGAAGGTAAGAGTGTAGTGGGATAGATTCCATGTAGTTCCATCTTCCCAAGTAATTAGCCTCTCTTTTACCCATGAGCAATCAAATATGTGTTAGTCATTTGGCCCAAGGCTGCCAAATGTCTTTTCTCCTAAAGGCCACAAATTAGGGTGATTGCATTTGCCTGAACAATAATATTTACAAATATGTTAACAATAAAGCATTAAAATGTTTCTCTTATTCTTTTGTCCCTAAACATTGCTGATTCCCTCAGTTTCCTTCCTTGCAGTACCTCAACTATTTGGACATCTCTGGTTTCCATTTCCCTTCTAGAAAGCAAGATGTCTTTAAACTAAGAGGTGCACTATATTTTTCTTAGCTACTAGCATCACAGGTATGGCATGAAGCATAATTGATTAAATAATGCTCAGCATCAGAACTGTTGTATCAGGAATCTAAAAAATAATTATATTATGCAGGTGTCATGAGGACCACAACTAAAAAACCAGTGGTTATTGAAATCTCTTTTATTTGTGTGTATGAAACATTTCTCCATTCTTCCAGGAGCCCCCACTCCTGCATCCAACAGACAACCTCTGCTCATACAAGACCTCTCCCTGAGGCATTGCTTCTCTCTATGAGAAACAGGATCTTCCAAATCAGGGTAGACCTGTGAGGAAGTGTGAATCCAGGGACATACCTGAGTGCCTTATGCTTCTACCAGATTTGGGAAGAATAAATCAATCATATATTTTTGCCTTTTTTTTGTTTTTTCAGATTTAGCTACACTGAAGCTGTCTTTGAAAACAGAACGCCAGATGAGCCACCCAGGCCAACAGTATATGAATGAGAGAGCACCATGTAGAAGATAAAGGCCACCAAATAATCCAGATTTTTCACTTGACATCCCCCTGAACATTCTGATGAATCAAATTAGTTCTAGAAATCTGATGTATTCATTCAAATAATTTTAGTTTGTATGAATTTTGATTAAAGTAAAAAAAAACTTGAGATAAAATACAGGTCTACATCACATATCACTCACATTTGTATTACTTGGTCATAAAGTGAGCAAAGTAATCATTCGAGTTCCTAATATCTACTGCTCTGATGTCATCTCATTACTTAAAACACTTAAAGCAATTGCAAAACATTTCTTGTAACATTAATCAATTAATGGTTATAATCCTCTACAAATGATATTAGAAAGTTAAATAAAATATATTAAAGTTAGATTCTTCATTCATTTCCAGAGACATAATGAATACAGGGCTTTCAAGAGTTAATATAGAAATCAGAGAAGGGAGCTGTAGCTTTGCAAGCTATTTCACCATTTCCCCTCCCCTCCCTTCATCTGGATTGGATCATGTTAGTGTGTGACTCAGCTAATTATGAAAGACTTCTCTGAAATGAATTAGATGAACACAGAATCTTTAACAGAAGCAGATCTTGTGACCTGGCAGAGTTCCCATCACAATCCAAATAAAGCCCACCCAGATGTGACCACTTCCTTTACTGTAACTCAAAGAACAGAATGAAACATCAATATGAACTTCCTCATCTAAGCATCTTCTCAGTATTCCTGATGGATACCTGATGGATTCCTGATTTGCTACTCTGATGAATCAAATCATATGTGGCACTAGACCCAGGGATAAACTAGTTTAATATTATTGAGAACCAAGCTACAGTTTTCAATAAAATATGTCAGTTTACTATTTACTATTTTTACTATTCAGTCTGGAAAAAAATATTTGGCTATGGACCAAGTAGGTATTTTTATGGCAGTTCTGATAAATTTAAGGGGTGTAAGCTTGACAAAGGCACTATTACCCCTAATGTGCTTCCCAGATTGTTTTTGGAAACTAAATGCAGTTGGTGCACTTCTCTACCTGGAGAAAAGATTCTGCACTTTGGTTGTTGGTCTGATAATGATTCTTTCATGCTGGTGTCCAATTTCAGTTTAGAGGTGGCTTCAGTAAACATTGCACTGGAACTGTGCTATAGTTCACTGTCTTGAAAGAAAGACAGAAAAATTATGAAGATTTAGTTGGTTTTGTCTCTGTGATGACATCAGTAAACCAAGAGATTAGCTTCACTTTTAATACAAGATATAGCTCAGTCATGGATTTGCAAGCTTAAACCCCTGCAGAAAAAAAGAAAACGAGGCAATATAAGTTGTAATCTGCACACTAAATGAACATTTAATTCATTTAGCAAGTCAGATGTGTGAGTAGAAGTGGCCACTTGCCTGTTTAAACAAGTGATATCATTCACACCTGGTTAACATCAACAAAAAGAGCTGGGGGAAGAAAGAAAATCAGAAGTAAAGGCAGAAATAAATTCCAAGCATCAATATACCCAAATGAAATCACCTTGACATTAGACACTCCAAAGGTATGAGAGGAAAATCAGACACACATCTCTATGCTGTACAGCTGCTTGCACTAACATAGATATAGATATAGATATAGATATAGATATAGATATAGATATAGATATAGATATAGATATAGATATAGATATAGATATATAATATATAATATATATATATACACCTTAATGTAAATCTAGTGACAGTTGATCTACTAAAATTCAAAGTAGACAAGGCTATGTTGGTCACATGAGTCTCTGGAAGTCTTGCTGTGAAGTTCAATTTTTCATTTCCTCTTCTTTTTAAAGAACATGGTTTTTTTAATGTACTAGGGTTTTTTCAGTGGGATGCAAGAGTGTGAGAATACCAAATTAATCTAACATTGCAAACTGAATTTCAAAGCCTAAATCATTGGCTTTACTTACAGTACAAAATAAATGGCCAAAACCTCTTATTTCTTATGCTAGTTAAAGTCAACAAACACTATAAAGGAAGGCAAAATTTGACTTCTTATAAGACACAAAAATAAGAGCTATTTAAAAGATTCTGTCTATCCTTGTTGGTCAGTAAATGTACTCACCCCTATTACTATTGCTAATCAGGATTTCTCTGGTTTTTAAGCATGAAAATTTCATCTTTTTTTTTTATTTTTTTACTTTTTCCCCACCTAGTGACTCGAGCTACTCTATTTGAAATTTTCCAGCAGATTTCACACGTATTTACTGAACTCTTTGGTCACATTTGACATAGTGTGTATATCTGTCTTTCTGTTCTTTTAAGTGATACCCAGTGAGATTTGCAGATGTGAACCTTCTTAACAGCCAAGTACCAAGAATTTAAATGGAAGAAAAATATTTCAGGAATGCTGAAACTTCAGGGTGGTTGTTATGACCAAATTACTACCAAATATCAATTCAAGTACATATTTATTTTTAGTGAAGTAAAAATGCATTTTTCTATAAATAAATAGTGCTCAGAAAAATCCTACTGATCCTAGCAAACACCTGTGTCTTCACCATGCCATCCATCCAGACAAACACCATTCTGCATTTCGGTATCTTTTTTGCTTGAATTATCATATTTTTGTACGGAAGGGATATGGTACAAGAAGCAATGCATGGCTCTATTTAGAAAAAGATACCCTTTTCAACTAATAAATATTATAGTAATTAACTTACTCTATGCCAGCAATAAAATGCAAAGTCTTTTTACCACTTTGACAATGGATTTTTTTTTTCAGTTTAATCCAGTTCTCATTTGTTTCATGCAATATTTCTTCCTCTTACATGATATATTTTTATGGCAAATCCTATTTCTCATTTTAAGAAACATCTTCCCAAATCCTCTGTAATTCTACTGCTTAAACTGTATCATGGAGTGGTGAGTTTTTTTATAGAAGAAGTCCTCTTACACAGTTTTTTAAATTAACATTGTTCAAAAGACAACTTCTCTGGCTAAATCATATTGTCAAACAATCACCACCAAGACAATCATGACTTCAATCTGTTCTCATGTATGCTGGCTTGTCCCACTATCCCACCACAGTTCATTGTCAGGGCACAGAGAACTGGAGACTTCTTTGCACAGCAAACTGCAATGTACAACACAGCTCTGCATGTTTGGGTGTCCAGCCTGGCCAGCTGCCCACATGCACAGCACCTGCTCTTGCTCTCTTTGCCACACAGCAGAACTTGCAGCACTCTTCAGCTCCCAGAGAGACAGCAGCTGTCTTCTGCAAGGCCAGGGTAGGATAAGAATGATTGGTTCTCTAGGGTTTCCCTCCAGCTGTGTCCCAGACCAGTCCTCTCTCCTGTTCCATAAAAACAGTAGGAAAAACCCACTGGAGAAAGAAGGGGTGAATGTAGGCAGCTATGAGGTATCTGTGAATGCCAAATATAGGGAGAACGGGTTTGTGCGCAGTGAAGCAGCAGAAGCAAGAGATTCACTGTAAAGAGAGAGAATACACACCCCTGTCCTTCCTCTCAGGGGTCTCTGAGATCACCCAGTACATTCCAAATCTTTCATGACTCTCTTTGTAGTCTTTTAGCCCAGGCTCCTCAGTCTCTTCAACAAAATACACCAAGGCAAAAGCATAGGATTCATAGACTCACAGAACCACAGAATCCTTAAGGCTGGAAAAGACCTCTAAGATCACCAAGCCAATTATTAGGCTATCATTATGTTCACCATCAAAGTATATTTTACATGCCATATTCACCCTTATTTTAACAGTTCCAGGGATGCTGACACCATCACTTCCCTGGGCAGCCTGTTCCAATGCCTGAAAAAATTTCTGTGAAGAAATTTCTTAATATCCAATCTAAGCATCCACTGGTGTCGAGGGAAGGGGACCAGGACACCATATGGTTCATCACAGGCCCAGCAGGTTCAGTCCTTCAGGTCCAGTTTATTGAAGAAAGTATCAAACACTTATACAGCAAATAATAAGCTTATGAATATTCTGTAAGCCTAGCAATCTATTGGTTAAACTATACCATGAACTCTTCCTCATTCCTTAGGGGTTACATGTCTCTTTTCTCATGTCTCTTTCACTGTTTGTTATTATACTACAGCTAGGCCCAAGGACATGCTATCTTGCAGGTGCAGGACTTGGAATTAGCCACAGCCTTGTAATTTTCCATTCTCTAGCAGCTAAATTCCCAACACACTGGTACAACCTTGTTTTGTCATTTGTTACCTGGAAGAAGGGACCAACTTTCACCTCACTATACCTTCTATTCAGGGATCTGTAGAGAGCAATAAGGTCACCCTTGAGCTGAACCCTCTAGCAATAAGGTCACCAGTCTGAACCCTCTAGCTTCCTCAAATGCTCCTCATCAGAGCTGTGCTCCAGACCCTGCCCCAGCTCCATTGGTCTTTTCTGGACATGCTCCAACACCTCATTCTGTTGGAAGTGCTGGACAAAGCGCTCGAGGTGCCCCTGGTCACACTCTGCAGGTGCAGCCACTGTCAATCAGCATGCCCAGCTCCTCTCCTGTGGAGCCACTTTCCTGCCACTCTTCCCCAAGCCTGTGGTGCGGTCTGGAGCTGTGGCCCAAAAGCAGGAGCAGGCACTCGGACTTGCTTGAACCTCACACAACAGGCCTTGGCTCATCAGTCTGGCCTGTCCAGACTCCTCTGCAGAGACCTCCTGCCCTCCAGCAGATCAACACTCCATTCTGATTGATTTTACCTGCTGAGAAGTTTAGAGCTAGTTTGTAGCATGAAAAAGGAGAACATGTCCTTGGCCAGTACTACTTGGTACAAGTAGTACTGGCCACAGCTAGGCCAGGATCTAGAGACTTCATTGGTAAAGGAGAATCACCTGGCTTCAGAAGAAGCAACAATGGCATGGCTCCTAAAGAAGACTGACACTAAGGATCTGTTCTAAACATAAAATTATGGTACAAGAAAAACTCCAATATTTCTATTCACTTCTACTGTTCTCCCACAAGGCATGTTTTATTCGTAGAACGCTTGCAAGACTCAATCCATACTGTGAATATGAATGTGGATATTAATAACCTTCCCAGGTTAAACAGATCTCTGCTTTTTCAGAGCTGCCTACAGATGCAGGCATGTAAGTGTTTGCTCACACTAGACTTGTTTGTTCTCACAGCAAAACCATAACAACTTTAGATTTGCATTTTCTTAAATGCAAACTAGGATTCTGATGCAATTCAGGTACAGAACTCGAAACACAGAGCTAATATATTGCATGAATCCAAAGTCAGTTCTGTGCTTGTTTCTGGAAAAGAGCTTCTCCTTAAGCTTACTTGACACAAACAAAAAAAAAAAAAGTTATGGCACTAATTGCTTTTTAGCA